CGAAATCGGTCGTGTGTTTCCAGGGCAATTTCGTCGAGTCATTCAGATACTACTTGTTGTGAAATGTATATCTATATGTATACGGCTAAACGAGAATCGTCAGAGATGTGATATTTCGCGGCCCTGATTAATACAAGTAGTGAAGAAAACAAGTCTGCCCAGAGGATTAGACATTGTTGTGACTTCATACGATTGAAGCTGTGGCGGACGAGTGTTTGTGGCTGTGTGTGTGTGTGGGGGAGGGGGAAGTGACAGTCCGATTCATATGTTATTAGATCGATACAGCCGGGTACTTCCAAATGATGACAATTTTACGATCACCTGTTACCACGCTCATAGGAAGGGAGAGAAAAAATGCGGCAAAAGTTTTGTTTTCGTGTCCCAATCCATGCGCGCGCACGCACTACCGCACACACGCCTCAACCTCGCTACCTGATGGACTTATGGGACATTCCGGATCAATGCAAAGCGTTACTGTCCATTTTTCGCAAAAGAATAACAATCCTGAGCTTCATCTCTTTGGATCGCTGTCTGTTTGGCTACTCCTTGCACGGACACTTTTTTCCCTATCACATCCACGTCCCAATCCGTGTTGTGTTGGTTGGTTGTTGTTGTTGGTGGTGGTGGTGGTGACGGTCATGCAGTCGCTTTGCTTTTCACCACGCAAATATCAACAGTAGTATGAAACACGTTGAAAGCAAGGTGTTTGTGTTTGTGTGTGTGTGTGACAAATTCATGAGGCGAGGTGTGTGTCTGTCCGNTTACCATTTGTCAGGTTTAAAGATCGAAAGTTTATCCATTTTTTGTCATTCAACGAAGCAGACGAAGGAAATAACAAAGGAGTCAGAAAGGACGAAAGCTGTTCTGTTGATTCTGTTTTTTAATCTTTTCACAAACCTTTGAAGAACAAAAGAAAAAGAGAAACAGAATTAGAAAACTTGGCTATCTACGATAAGATTCAGCGATCATCTATGTTTCAATGTTTTGGTATTTGTATTTGTATAACTTTGCAAGCTGAAATATGCTTGCATTTCAGTTGAAAATTGTATACTGGTCGTCACATTGGAGGAAATATAGAAGTATAAATAAATTTAATAGTTCTGTGTAAAAAAATTAATGTCTCTAAAGTTTGATTCATTCAATTAAAGATTAAAGTAATTCATTCATAACTCGTTCCTTGTTAGTCAAGATGCGAGCCAGATACAGTCAGTGGTTCACCGACCCGGCTATATAGCTCCGGATATTGGCTTTTCGTCCTCTAACTTTGGTGAGCATAGACCTCCGCCACAGA